AACGAGCTAAAAATGAATTGCACATAGCTACTTTTCTGTTTCCCACTAACAAAAATATTATTTAAGAAAATCAATTCATGAAGTAACGGTTTGAATCCCAGTCATTGAGAAATACAACCTTCTTGGTGGAGAACAAACAGTCCATCTCTCTTGGTGGCTTCAGTTCATCCGTCTGCTTGAAGACAAAAAACAGGCCCAAGTGCACACTCAGGTTTCTTCCAGCTCAGACTCAGCTTGGATTCAACAAAAGGAAGTTTCATTGTATATCTGAATAATCAACCTTCAAAAAGACCACACCGGTTAAGAGTAATGTGCCATATATAATTAATGTGCCATAAATGATTAATATGTATCTCTTGAATATATATACATATATAACTTGAATATATGTATACATGTGTATATATGTGCATGCATATACACATGTGTACATATATGGGCACACACACATACATATATAAAAGTTTGGTTATGTCTGTTTACCTGAACTATTCTGAGGTCAGGCCCAAACATATTCTTAAGCGCCTGGTGCCAAAGCACTGAATTAAAACTTCTTGAAATATTTTAAGTTGTTTCAAATTAAATTTTCTATGTACTAGAATTGCTTGTTTGGTTTATCTTAAAATCCTATTATATCTCTATACACACCTTCACACAACTTATCCAAAGGTCCAACTACCAATCCACCCAAACAATATGATGAACAAAGGAAATAGTGGTAACCCTCAAGAGTGGTAACTGTTGGGAGCTGGACTTAAAAGCAACACCCCAAGGACTTTTGTTGCATATAGTTATATTTTAATTAATATTGTTTCACCCAATTTATACCTTTTCCCCAGAATAGCTCCTTTGTTGTCCATGGTTTAATCTGTAAAATTGCACACTTGTTACAGGGTCCAACGTGGTCCCCCATGCAGTCATCAATGGTAGTTGCTCTCCTTTCCCTGCGAAGAACACTAATAGGTTTGCTTGGTGAGAATGAGGCTTGTGGGAAGATGGCAGTGAAGGAGACAACATATTTTCCCTTCTGAAGTAGGTTTATCAAAGATTAAAAGAGGCACCCTCTGTATCGTGGGTAAAACGTGGTTTCCATGGCTCCAAGGACAGCAATTGGAAATTCAGGAGGTACACCCCAACTTTCCTGATTCACGGCTCCTTTGACATCTGCTTTGATCACCAGCCCCTCATTTTCAGCAACCCCATTTCCCCATCCCTAGGAGGAAGCACTCATGGGCCCTGGAAACTAGCCAATTAATGACATCATCTTAGTTTAGACTCATCAAAAGTGAATTTGTGTTAATGTATATTTTAAGAAAGACAAAGGTTTTCTATTTTCTTTCAACATGACTCATTATCTTTTCCTATAAAATATAGCTGTAAGGTATCATATGTAGGTATCCTTTCAGAGGTAAAAAAGACTACACCAATGCAAAATGCATCATTTTATTGATGTCCTCATTCTAACAATGAAAGCTAAATGCATTCCAAGAATCCACTATTCAGATGACTATGTCCTTGGTACATGGAAGCATGAAGATTAGAAGTAATATACCCTGAATGTTGCAAAGCATGCCCGGGCAGTGTGGCTCAGTGGTTGAGCATTGACCTATGAACAAGGAGGTCATGGTTTGATTCCTGGTCAGGGCATATGCCCAAGTTATGGGCTTGATCCCCAGTAGGGGGTGTGCAGGAGGCAGCTGATCAATGATTCTCTCTCATCATTGATGTTTCTCTCCCTCTTCCTTCCTTGCTCTGAAATCAATAAAAACATTTTTTAAAATCAAACAAAATGTGGCAAAGCAAAGTAAGTGCTGATTTCATAATGTTTTTAGCTAATGCGCCAGAAACCCTTCCAAAGCTTTGGTAATTTTTTCCTATATAATTTCTGTTGGCTTTACTTATATTAAATAAAAGATTTAAATTGAAAGAAGTAGCCAACAAAGTGCTTCGTATACCTGGCAATTAATGAATATTACTTATTGTTTTAATTATGTTGTCAGGGAGAGTTTTGTTAAATATAAATCAAACATACATAATCATGTGTAACTGAAGATACTTCTACAAATACCTATTTGAACACATTCATTTGCTTAATTAATGAATAGCTTTTGATATATTTCTCAATTCTATTTTAATTCAAAGGCTTGGTATTAATAGCCCCAGCCCAAGTTCCTGGGCCTGCTCTGCCTTCTAAGATGCAACCCACTCTAATGTTAGAATTCTTTTCCTTTACTTTGTTTTTGGGCTACTATTTTGTACATTTGGAAAAAAACTATAACAACACTGATATGCTGAGATGAACAAGACAATCTCTACCCTCAAGAAGCTTAGAGTGGGAAAGAGCTGGCAAGTTTCCTTCTCATAAGGTAAGTGCTTTGATGATCATTAACCCAAAGTCGACCCACTCAACCTTGGGGAGGATGGTCATGGGCGAGAGGTTTCCTAAATTTTGAGGTCTCTAAACTGAGCCCTGAAGAACTCAAAGAAGAGACATGGATGCTAAGGAAGGCAAACATGTCAGGAGGGAGGAAAGCAACAGAAGAAGTGACACAGGGTCATTTTCAAAGATAAATACTAATTAACTGGATAAAAGAGTAGGTAAGAACCAACATTGAACAATAGGGCTAGAGAAGAAGCTACCTCAATAAAAGAAATGTTATTGCACTTAGACTTGCTGCTCAAAAAAGAGAGAGAGGCAATTTCTATGTAAAAGAGAACTTTTATTACTTGAATTTCCCGTTATCAAGAAGCATATGCTGTTACCTGTCAATATATCCATCCTGGTACATTCTCTTACTCCTGAAGAGCTTGGCCATTAGAAAAGCAGATTGCTGCTGCACTCATCCCAAATCCATTTAGTTGTGAAAGAACTCTTTATATTTCATAGTCCAATGAGGAATAAGAGGGATTTTTTTAAAGCACTGATCTCAAACTTCCTCTGCCAAGAATTGACTCCTTTAAACTTTAGGTTGAATTTAAAGACCACTTCAGAAGATATTCCAAAGTTTCCATCTTTATCTCATTACACAAGCAATGATCCTTCACTTTCCCATTTCTAAGCTCTCTCTTCATTCTGTCTCTTAAACCCAAAGAATACCAATATCCTCCAAAACAGCATTTCCATATGTCCAAGTTTCTGGATCCAGTTGAAGCAAATTGTTGGTCATTCCAATCCCTAAGCTCTCTCCTAAGGATTCTTTATCTTGGACAACTCCGCTTTCAAGTACAGTTTAACATAATTTGTATGTGCATCTATCACAAATGGATTGTGCCTTTCATGGAAGGGAATAAGGTGTCTCTGATGTGTCTCGAGTTCTGTGGTCCATAATGGCACAGGCCCAGCGCACCCCATGATGTCTAGCCTCCTCCCTTTGGATTGAGGAAGCCCATTTAAGTAGAGTCTTCTGAGCTGGACTATTTACAAGTGGCCTCCCTAAACCTCCCAGTCTTTCCACAGTTAAGTTCTTGGAAAATATTTTTCAGATTCCATGAAAATCATATGTGATTAATGCCAATTGGGTTTGAACATTAGGTTTTTTACTCATTAATCAAATATCTGTATTTGATAGACAGTTTCCAGAGGGAATGTTATATTTCTGCAGCTTTAAGTGTCTATGCTATCAAGTGACACAAGAACCCAAAGCTCTGAAATCGTATTTGGAGACCATGCTAATATCAATTTCAGATATTAAGATAAAAATAATTCATCAATTCCTGACTTTGTATATAAGTGTACAAGCATTCCCTCCTCCATTGGAAGAGCATGGGCTTGGTACTAGTCCACCTACACCACCACACCACCTCCACGGGCACTGTCAGCATGTAGGTATTTGCAAGATACCCAGCTGAATGCAACCAGTGACTGTGGAATATAGCAAAGCCAACTGGCCCTCCTAACAACTGATTTTCACCCTGATGGTAGTAGCAGTTTGGATGGAGAGAAATGGGCAGGTACGGGATAAATCATCTTTTTGAGGTCAAGTCTGCAGGGCACTAGATCTGCCTCACTTCATGCATCTAATTAAAACCAAACCCTCACAAAATAGTACCTACAAAAGGAAAAGGAAAATAAGCAGCGCCTTACCAAGTACATTTGCCAGAAAATAGTGTTTCAATCGTGATCAATATTTAGGTTAGAATTTAGGATGATTCTACTCTATTAAAATCCCTTAGCAATTTCCCCCAGTCCCTAAAATCTTTCATAATCATATTAGGTTTTCATGACATCAAAAGCCAAAACAGTACAAGTTGCTTTTGGTATAAATGTTAGAAACTGTCTCTTATTACTTGAAAGACTACAAAGGATTTAGATGTTCACATGTAAAATGATCGTGGCCTCTTTTCCAGGCTTTCGGGGTATAACTTTCATAAGTCAGTTAGCCCACAGAGAAATTAAATTAAATTAAAGAGAATAGTTCTGTAAATAGAATGCACTGTTAATGCGTTTTGGTGACGTTTTATCCTGTGCATTTGAATGAATAGGATAAAGTACCATATTGCAGATTTCACATATTCCTCACGCTCCACCTCCATTCCAGTCCTTTGGAAGTTGATATTAGCATGGTCTCCAAATATTAATCTGGGGCTTTGGGTTCTCATGTCACTTGATAACGTGGACACTTAAAGCTGCAGGATTATAACATCCCCTCTGATAACTGTATATCAAATACAGATACTTGATTAATGAGTAAAGAATCTAATGTTCAAACCTAACTAGCACCTAACGCCATGTGTTCCTTCAGCTTCCCACATTACCCATTCCTTATAACTGTAGCATTCTAACATTCATTTTCTGTGTCAAGACAAAATTCATGGCCCTCTGTTAAAAGAGCTTGCTCAAGGTTGGCTTTCATTAGTATTTCATGTTCCTGTTCTCCATTTACCCTGCACTCCACCCTTCCGTGTGGAAATCATCCTTCAGTCACCTTTTCTTCTAACGCCCCTCAGGTCTCTCATGCATGCATAAGTACAGGGATGGACGAACCAGCACTCAACATATACACAATGTATTGTGAAATATATTGATATATTTTTAGCTTTATTCCAGGAAAACACATTTAACTGCATTGCACATTACAGTCTATTGAAGTTAGATAGAAACTCCCACCAAATAGGACTGCTGAGGTTTGGTACAGTAGTTTGTCTTGGTGATCTCATGTACACAGTCACTATAGTCAGTATTGCACTTGCCACACTTACAGCTTACAGCTATAGGGAAGGAGAAATAAGGACTAACATGGCGTGGGCATCCTGGTATCTCTACAGTCTTGTATATGAAGTCTCCATATGTACAAACATCCTGGGACAGGGCATATTTGGGAAGAAACTGCTTGCCATTGATATCCTGAGGAGAGAACAGAAAAAGGAGCATAGTATAATAGCACTTTAAGATGCCCATAGTCAATGGCAACAAATAAAAATCAACTCACTTATGTTTCTTTGTCACTAATAGGATTCCTCAGTCCCATTCCCCAATACCCACTCAACACATCCTCACTGAATCCCAAAGAGACAAATGTGGTACACACTCCCTTTTATCCTTAATCATGGAAAGGTGATAAGGCTTAAACAAAGTTTGGAAGTAAACTGTTTTAAAATTATCTATACCCACTGTGTTGAGTATAAACATATAGAAACCTGTGCCCTCTACCTCTAAGGAGCCAATTACCATTAGATTTGGAAAATGAGGTTGTGATTTATCTCATTTCCTTTCTGCATAGATATGGACAAAGTCTAGGTTTACCTAATGTACAGCTAAAAGAAGTAAGATGAACTACATACCCGTGTCATACAATATCCGGCACAGATGGTGGTGTTGATGGTTAGGCAATAATCACACTCTTTCCTTTCAACATGCATCATATACTCAGTTGGAATACAAAAAGACGTTGCTTGCCCACACAGAAGGCCAAAAAGCATGGATATCAGGAAGATAGCAGTCATGCTAAATCGAAGATAAAATTAAAGAATCTATTAGGTGTATCCTTTAGGATATTCAGAAGAGACATTTGGAAAGAGCCAAAAATATGTATATTTTAATACCATGCCTATATTGTCCTAGGATCTATATTAGGTGTTTTTACATAATTAATACCCGCAGTAATTTTTCTTTATACACTGAAGTGTTGCTCTGATTCACATACCCCACAGTGAATGGCAAGCCTGAAGCACCACAGCAGGAAAGTGGCAGAGACACATGTGCCAACTAAGTGTACAACAATTCATTCAATGAAAACAATCCAAATACCTGCCTCTATGACTGGAAGAAGTGAATGAACAGTTAGGCTTCAGTAAGGGCTTTCCCAGAACTCTAGTTTTCAAAAAAACTTTGGTTAAAAGGCCAACAAATGGGTCATAATAAGAAAGGCAAAGAAACCAAGAAAATGCATAACCAAAACATTAGTACCATCTCAATACAAATAATATTGCATATAATTTTACCCATTGCCTGTCAAGGAAGACAAGATGAAGCGGAAGACAAGATGAAGCTACAGAAAATCCAGAAAACATTAACATAAAATTAGGAGCTAACCCAGAAATCTAGATACTCTCTTTCTCCATCCTTAGGATATTCCTCTAATGTTGAAAAAAGTAGACTTGGACACATAAAAAATTATGTTACTCAGAAGATGTATGAAATTCATTATCTTAAAAAGATTTCAGACGCAGCCCTGGCCGGATGGCTCAGTTGGTTGGAGCATCATCCCATTCACCAAAAGGTTGCTGGTTTGATTGCCGGTCAGGCCTCATGCGCAGGTTGTCGTCTCAGTCCTCAGTAGGAGACATGCAGGAGACAGCCAATCAATGTTTCATTCTCACATTAGTGTTTCTCCCTCTCCCTTCCTCTTTCTCTAAAAATCAAGAAAAATATATTTTGGGGGGAAAAATTCAAATGCAAAAATTATAGGTTGACACTGAGAATAACAATCAAGGTGGCAGATACATTGTGGGCTAGCCAGGAGAGTCAAATATGTTTGGCTGCATAGAAGATACCAGAGGGTCCATGTGCCTCAGTCAGAAGAAGAACAAGTATCTCAAGAGTGCCTGTCTGCTGAAAGAATTTGTTCAATATCAATTGGCATCATAATGAGCTGGATAATGTTGGCATAATTATTTTAGTTCTGCTACTGAGAGCAGGTAACCCAGACTTTTGAATGTAAATTGGTCACTTCAGAGATTAAGAAGATTATTTTACCTTACAAATATAGTACAGTTAGCTAGGTATATTTGCATTTTTTCCTTCTTAAGTATTACTGTGAGAAAAGAAAATATTCATCTTAGTGAAGCAGATATCTTTGAACACAAACTTGTTTGCTTTTTCTATTAAATATGGCATAATTCAGTAAACATTTTATTCTATCAAAAATGTATCAAGATTTTCTCATATCTGTCCATTATATCCCAATACTATCTGTAAGCTGTATATACTAAAATTTCCATCAACTGAAATCTTAGAGACTCAGCCACAGTTAACCAGAATTCATCTTTAATTAACTTTTTAAGAGAAAACTAAAACCCCATTCAACAAATTACCAAGGATAAACATTTCTGCACTCCTATTCCCAGAATGAGAATTGCAGAAAAATTAGATAAGCATATATTGAGCATGTGAACCAGGCACTGAGAGATACAAAATGCGTAAGCTATCTATGGTCCTTGAACTCAGGGCTGACAGTCTAATAATGGAGGAGATAAGTATGAACAAACACTAATAATAAAAATACATATTGTTCTAAGTGCTCTGAAAGAGTCCAAATTATGACTCTGAAACCCCCAAATGATATAGACAAGGAAGTAAGCTAACCCATTAAGAAGGGTTTTCTAGTGAACCCTTTTATTTATTTTTTTCAATCTTTAATTTCTTTATTGATTAAGGTATTACATATGTGTCTAGTGAACGCTTTTAAATAAAATGTTGCATATTCAAGCTTTCCTTGGAGGTTTGTTGGTATTTCAATTAGGGACAGAAAATATAAGAACTCGTTGCTCATGGAATCTGGTTTTCTCAAATGCTTCACAAATGTGAGCTCCCTCGATGGTAGAATTGGTTCCCTTATTTTAGAGCCACAGACTTGGAGGATCCTCTGCAGAATCTTAAAAATATCAACTGAGAACATTATATAAAGTACTCACCTGTCCTGATCATATGGTTCTTGCCTGACTAGCCAGCCAGCCAGCTACTGGATTTTTGCCATAGGAAATCATTAACTTCACGTTTTAACTTTTAGCTCTATGATGCTATGTAAAATAGATGTGTGGCAACCTAGTGGTGAGAATATTGGTCCTGGATTAAGGAACACAATTGTATTTTAAGAATTCCCATGAATCTATGAGAAATTGACTTAAATATTTAATTGGTCTGGGCCTTATTTCCCCAACTGCAAAACAGAAAGAAAAGAAAAAAAAGTACACCTGACCTTTTTTAAAATTGTAGAATAAACAAAAACTATTTTGGAACTTTTACCCATTGTCATTCATTCTGGACACTAGACATTTTTTCAAAGTTACTCTTATAAATATAAAACTCTAAACTAACAAAAGGAAATGTTAAAAGCACTGAATTATCAGCAAAGTATCTGTATAACTTTGTGGATGTAAAGAAAGTAAAAATTATCCTTTTTCCTTAACTGCAAATAAAATTCTACCTAAAAAAAACACCTTTCTAAGCCTCAGTTTCTTTATCTAGAAAAGCAAAGCTTAGAACCAGAAGATGATCAGGAAGTTCTTTTCAGTACAAAGAATGTGTGATTCTATGTGATAAATTAGTGTCAGACTCCTGGTCTAAGAGTTAGTGACCTAGAATTCTGCTTCCAAATTTCATTGTAATGTGTGTCACTGAGCAATTTAATAACTTTGTGCCCCTCATTTTTCCATATGCTCTATCCTAATCTCATTAAAAAAAAACATAACAATACATATGATGAATTTGGAATGCTACAGGAGACTATATAAATATATACATAAATATACATATATATATACATATATGCCACAATTTCTCTTTTATCACCAGATTCTTATCTTGGCAACTTAATTGCCTCTTTTAACATTATCACAAATTATTTATTGGGCTGCTAAACATAAGGCATGATTTAAGCCCTAATAAGATATGCTTTTTTCAGTGGCATACCCATATATGTCTATACTTCCAATGTTTTCCTTATTCTAATATATCTTCTTTCTTTTGCCCCTTATTCCACTTTTTCTTTCCTTTTTTTTTCTCTCACTACCTTCATTCTCAATAAGCACATTTCTCTCTGCTCTGCCAATTTCCTCCACCAATTTTTTTCTCTCCAAATCCCTTACTACATTATGAAAAGAATCAACTGCCCACCCTATAAACAATCCAGGAACTTAACTAAAGCAACATATTATTCTAGAGAGTAAAATGTACTATAAGGCAGGTGTGTGCACGGGACACTATCCAAGGTGGTGTAGCTATTAAATAACTGAAATAAGACACAGTAAATTACACCTACAGATATTCAAAATTGAATTCACTCTTAAGTTTTCCCAGAAGTATATCATCAAAGATAACCATTCGTAATTGACATAATTTAATAACATACTATACAATTGATAAAATTATTTCAATTGAAATGTAAATAGGAAGAGAAAGCCATGAACATCAATCAGGGAATTAACCTCTTCGAGTTAATAGAATTTTTTCCTCATTTTTATATATGTAGTTCACTCAACATTGAACTATTTTGGAGCAATAATTAAAATTCTTAGACCACTGGGGGTAGGGGAGGCCAGGGGATTGTCAAGGGGGGGGGGGAGGAGACATATGTAACACTTTTTGTAATACTTTAAGCAATAAAACAATAAAAAAAATTCTTAGAGCCAATCCAAATTATCACTCAACATTTGCCATTTTTTAATAAGTGCTAAAATGGTGAAAGTGGGAAAAGAACATTTCATTTTGCAAAGCCTTCTCAGTGTAGACACCTACCTTACTTTGTTCTGCATTGGTGAGCTGATGCTGTAGTGACTCAGACCAAAACCTCTTGGTTCATTTTATACCCTTTGGGATAAGTCCTCTCTGATCTTCTTGTTTATATAATTGCGTTTGAATTACTGCTTCCTTATCTGAAAAACATCTATTGAAAATTCATACTGAACCCCAAATAAAATGTGTTTAGATAAACAGGGCTTCCTCTGGAAACTGACATTATTGCAGCATAAATTTCCCTTTCTCCTATTTCAAAATAAAATTACCCTTTAAAATACATCCTTTATTAATATTTACTAATATAACAAAGGATACACACAGAAGGAGAAAAAAACCTTAACATCATCTAAGTAAGATATGGAAATGAAAATTTATTTAGGGCTTGAGTGCCCCAAATTTCACGTAAGTGCTCATTTAGATGTAAATAAAATTACTGCTTATCTACCAAGCAAAGACAACTTTTTATAGAAATCCAGGACAATTGGCACACGTTTCTGAGTAAAACAAAAATAATAATAAGTTTACGTGTGACACGAACTGAAAGTAAAAAGATGGAAAAAGATATTTCATGCAAATGTTAACAAAAAAGAGTTGGGGTGGCAATACTTATAGCAGACAAAATAGACTTTAAAACAAAGACTTACAAGAAACAAAGAAGGACATTATCCTATATAATAAAACCCTAATATGCAAATAGACTGATTGGTGGAATAATCAGTCGCTATGATATGCACTGACCACCAGGGGGCAGATGATCAACCCAGGAGCTGCCCCCTAGTGGTTAGTGCACTCCCACAGGGGGAGCGCCACTCAGCCAGAAGCCAGGCTGATGGCTGGCAAGTGCAGCCAAAGTGGTGGGAGCCTCTCCCACCTCTGCTGCAGGCAGGTAGTAAGGAGCCAAGGGTCCCAGACTGCAAGAGGGCGCACGCCGGGCTGAGGGAACATTCCCCCCTCCCCCGCAACCCAGTGCACAAAATTTCATGCACGGGGCCTCTAGTATAATGATAAAGGGATCAAACCAAGAGGATATAGCCCTTGTAAATATTTCTGCACTCAGCATAAAAGCACCTAAATATATAAAGCAAATCTTGATGGACATAAAGGGAGAGATTAAGAGTAACACAGTCAGAGTAGGGAATTTTAACATCCCATTGACATCAATGGATAGATCTTCTAAACAGAAAATCAACAAGGAAACAGCAGCCTTAAATGACACACTAGATCTGATTAATTTCATTGATGTCTTCAGAGCAAATATACATTCTTCCCAAGTACACATGGAACATTTTCCAGGATGGACCACATGTTAGGACACAAAACAAGTCTCAACAAATTTAAGAAGATTAAAATCAGATCAAGCATGCCTGGCTGGTGTGGCTCAGTGGTGGAGTGTCCACCTACGAACCAGGAGGTCATGATTTGATTCCCGGTCCAGGCTGCGGGCTCGATCCCGGTGTGGGGCGTACAGAAGGCAGCCCATCAATGATTTTCTCTTATCTATGTTTCTATCTTTCTCTCCCTCTCCCTTCCTCCCTGAAATCAATAAAAATATTTTTTAAAAGAAATCACATCAAGCATATTCTCTGACCACAGTAGAAATAATCAATTACAAGAAAAACTAAAAAATACACACACGGAGGTTAAATAACATGATACTAAACAAGAATGGGTTAACAGTGTTATCAAGGAATAAATGAAAAGATACTTTGAGACAAAAAAAAAATGAAAACACAACAACCCAAAATCTTTGGGACACAGCAAAAGCAGTCCTAAAAAGGAAATTCATAAAATTTACATGTGAAATAACAATCATTTAAGTAAAGACCAAATATGATAGGATATTAAACTGGTCTGAGATCAAATCCTGGCTCTTGCATTTAATAGCTATATGACATTGGCATGCTTGAGCTCTCTTTACTTCAGTTTCTTCATTTATTTATTGTTTATGTAGAGCACTTAACACCATGTCTGGCATATAGTAAGTCTTCAACAACTGATAGCTAATTTATAATAATTCAACATTTATTTACTTAGCAAATATTTAGTCACAGTGCCTCGTACATAGTGGGCAGTCACTATATTTGTTGAATGTATAAATGGCTAAGGAAGTGTATGAATAATTATTAAATTTTTAAAACCACATTTTTCCATCTCCATAGCTATAACTCAAGTTTACCTCCTCAATCCATTTGCCTCACTGTAATAAAATAAGCCTATAGTTCAACGAGAATTTCCCATTATACTCAGAAAAAAAGTCAAAACTTCTTAGTATCATTTATAAAGTCCTTCATATCTCTAATTTCATCTTTCCCCAGCTCCCACCCCTCCCCTTAACTTCTCCATCCTTTCTCCACTTTCTATGTTCTTCAGCCTAACTGAACTGAGTTCCTCAAATTAGTCAGACACTCTCTTCCCTCTAAGTCTTTTCATATGCCATTCCCTGTGTAACATCTGCCTGACCCCCCCCCCCACTCCATGCTTCATCTCCCCTAACTCCTACTCATCCTTCATGACTTAACTGAGAAAGCACCCTTTCTGCAAAACCTTCTCCGAGTCCCCCAGGCCTCTCTTGTGGTTAGTTGTTTAATAGAATTAGGAAAAATATATAGAACATCTAGCACATGGCAGATGATCAATAAATCATAGATGTTATTATAGATTATTGACAACCCCATAAGTCTTCACTTGTCCTCATCTTTATAATTAATGAAAGTTAATGAAAAAAATGAGGCCTGGTATAGGCAAGTCTACCTGGAGGGGGAATGAAGAGGTTAGGGCAGAATCTGGAAGACATACCAGGAATAGCCATTTCAGGGGCCCCCAAATCTTGGGAATGTGAGCTAATATGTAGTAAGAGAAGAAATCGAAAAAGAGTAAAGTGAAAATGAGGATGCCAAACTTGTTTCATGTGATTTCACGCAAGATGATAAAAGTACAGAAACTGTGGGAATGTTAGATGCTTGTTTCTAATGGAAATAGTGCCTCTGTTGTATAAAGTATTGATTCATGTACTCAGTTTCTTGCAGATTTATGTACATATCCCTGGGAAATATATATACACATAATAGGTAACTGACATACTCTTGGCCTACTACTAAAAGAATTGTAAAAAATATCATGCATTTGGGTAATAATTTTCTTTTCAAAGGGGCTCTAATATATATGATCTCATACTGTTAAGAGAATTCAGGCAGATTGAACTTTCATTTCCAGACTGGATTTACTCTCCCATCTCAAATAACTATAAACAGGACAAAATACACGAAACAATGGTTCTACACACATGAAAGGTTAAGCAAGATAGGAAAGTGATCCCAAAGAGACAGAAAACAGGCAAAGGAACTACAGCTTACTGCTGGAAGAAAGTTTCTCATGCAGGGATGGGTATCAAAGGCAGAGGCAAGAAGTGTCCCCCAAACTGAGGAGATGGGCTTGGGAGTCCATGGAGTTCAAGGCACTTGGGGTTCACAGGGAAACATATTACAGAGGAGAGAAATGCAGAGAGAGAGAATTCTGGAGATCTGCAGATAATCTCTTTGAATATCCAGCTGAAAACTGGTAAACTCATGCATGTGAAGAAACTAGATGAGGCTGGGGAAAGAAATACCTGAAAGGATTAATAAGAGCAGTCTTGGGACTCACACAGAAATAGGCATAGTACTTGGTCCAACTAACAACAGTGGAAAATTTCCTAATTCATGGGAAATTAGGTAGTATACTTAGAAGGGTTTTGCCTCAATTGTGGGGGGAAATTAGGCCTAGACTAAATGCTGCTTGACCCTGTCTAACAAATCTTTAAAGCAAGACCCAAAAGGATTAACTATTTGCAAACAACAGAACTAACTCAGAGAACAAAGTTGAAGAATATTTATAGGGATACAATATCGTTTATGCATTGTTTTCCTAAAACTCTCAACAAAGTCTATGTAGAGGAAATGTACCACAACACAATAATGGCCATATATGACAACCCACAGTTAACATCATACTCAATGGTGAAAAGATGGAAGCTTTTCCTCTAAGATCAGGAACAAGATAAGGATCCCCAATATGGCTACTTTTATTCAACATAGTATTACAAGACCTAGCCAAAGAAATTAGGCAGGAATAGAATTAAAAGGGATCCAAATCAGAAAGGAAGAAGTAAAATTATCAGTTTGCAGATTACATACTATATATACAGGGGTTGGCACAAGTAGTTTTACATTTGTTCAAATGGTAATAATATGTAGTAATAATACAAGAATAAACTGTGTTTTATGTACTCACAACTGTAAGCCTACTTTTTTTCAACCAAAATACCATTATAATAAATGAATTCAGTTAAAGTTGCAGGATATAAAATTAATATACAAAAATCTATGGTGTTTCTATACACCAACCCTGAACTATCAGAAACAGAAATTAAGAAACAATCTCCTTTATTATAGCAGCCCTAGGAAAATAATATATGCAGTTTATTGTATGTCAAACCTCAACAAAGCTGTTCTTAAAAATCCAGTAGCTAGAAATGATCTGTACCTATTACTCTGACTTCATGTCATACCACAGTCTCTTTCCACCTTTTATTTACTATGTTCCTTTGAATATTTTAAACCTGTTCTTGCAACAGGGTTTTCACATGTGCTATTTGTTCATGATGAAGACCTCTTTCACCAGATCTTCAAATGGCTTCATCATCTCAGCTTAAAAATGACTTCCTCAGAACAGCTTCCCTTGACCATTAAATCTGCCCCTGACACTTTTTATCCCACTATCTCATTCATTCCTTTTTCATAGCACTTACAACTTTCTAATATTGTATTATTTGTTTACATGTTTATTCTGTTTTTTCCCTTCCAACTAGAATGTAGGCCCCATAAATAGTAAAATCAGACTATTTCACATACTAGATGTTCAATCAGTACTTATTAAATGCGTAAATAAGTGGAAATGAAGGTGCTATTTCCAGAGTTTATAATTAGATACAAAGAGACATTATTAACTGCTCTAATATTCTATAGTTACAATGAAGCCATACTAAAATCAAAGTTT